GATCCAAGAGTGCCCCACCCAGACGCTGAAATACGAACGTTGTCTCGGTAGTTCGGGTAACCTTGTTTACTGCTGCTATTGCTACTGATGCTGCTACTGCAACTACATCTACTACAATACATATGCGTTTCCTTTTATACTGATGCTGTTGTATTGTTGTATTGCTGTCCATAGAGTACTTTACCCGAGAACCCCAAACCTGCAACCGTTGGAGACATGGTCTGGCATCATGGTTAATCTGCCTGGTGACTGGTTTACGCGACTCACTTGTATCGTCTGCAGACCTTGCGTGGCAGAGTCCGAGTGTGAGCGGCAAAATAAATCCCACAACATCTTAAACACGAAAATACACCCAAGCAACACCTAAACCCCCCGGCCCTACGGACCCCAAATCCAGCAAAACCTAAACCCGGAACCACCATGAAAAGCCTGCGCAACCGCGTTCGTCATCAAGTCGGAACTCAATGAGACTGCCCAGGAAAACAGGACGAGGTGACTTGACCCAGGCCCTTGGTTTTCTGGTTTGACAGGGTGCCTTTTGGCTGAATCGCCAAGTTCGCGTGCTTTCCTCTTGTTTTCAGCCCGCGAATCTCTTCGGGGTGTGAGATTTAGGCATCAGGGGCTGTTTAGTGTATCTGGTGAGTGTGTAGCGGGTTCACAGCAAGGGCAAGGGTTTGGAAGGAGATTCGGGGGTCGGGTTCTCTGTATTTTTTTTGCTTGGAAGCTCTAAGTTTACGGCGAAGCCTTAGTCCATGACCTGCTGTTCAGGAGGTTTTTCTAGATCGAGGTGTTGACGATCAATTCCTGGCAGCAGCATCACAAGCAGCATCACTATGGCACTTTGGTGATTGCTGCTACCATTGCCCGTTGTCATCTCTACACATTCGAGGCATGCTTCTCGTTTCGCTTTATGCCTGCATCATTCCCCTGGTTGTCAAGACCAGGCTTCGCGGCTTCCACTCTAAAGATTTAAGTGGGGTTTGGCTACCGATCTGCCCTGGGCCAAGAGCTGCGGGAAGGCGCCTCAAAACCCTCGATGCCAGGGTCGAGCTCCAGGGCTTCACAAGCCCTAAACCCTGTAGGCGAACCGTTGACAACACGGACCCCAGAGCATTGATGATCCAATCCAGTCGTTATCGAGCTTTCGCGCGAATCAGTTCTGCTCGTTTTGCAGAAGCTGAAGACCCAAGGAATTTCGATTTTCGCGAGGCACCCTTTCCGTGGCAGCAGCGGCTCCACGTGGCTTTGGGCCCACGCCTTTGTATTTTGTTGTGCATATCAACGCGCCACAAGGAAGCCAGGTTCCTGTCAATTAGCAGTGTTGGGATCATGTAGGCAGGAGACTCACGCAGAGGTTGAGAAGGAAGAATGGCACATTGTAGGTACCCACCTTGAGAACGAATTGGGTTCTGGGTGATTACCGGAAATCTGTGGGGACAACGAAACAGGAGAAACCCTCAGCCCTTAGTTATGTAGATGTTGCGCCTGTTCGGTGCTCCAGACAAGGACTAGGAAGGTTAAAGATTTATAGGGTGCCCTTGCGGGCCAGAGGTCAGGGCTTAGGGTTAAAGAGCCGAGGGCTTCTTGGCAACAGTGGTGGAAAAGTCCTTCAACCGGTGCGCTGCATGAAATCGGGAATCCCGAAGTCCGAGCTTCACCATACAACCCCCATTCGACCCCCACGCCATGGACCCTCGCACACTAAAGCCGAGCCCCCACCCTAAACTCCGAACCTCCAAGCTTCCGATAGAGGTATCAAGCGCTTCGATGATTGGTAGGAAAACTCCTTCATGTTGTATTCTCTCGTATATAAAGTACGTAATTTCATAGCATGATATACCCCAAAATCCTACAGTAGTCCGAGCATTGAGGCCCCTAATCTATTTCTTGTTCCGAGGTGCTGCCAAGGGTCTGGCCCACATGGTCGGCAGTACGCCGAAGACTTTTCATCGGGATATCAAGCCGAGCCCACAGTATTTTCGGGATTAAGGGCTTGGGCCTTGGAAGATATTGGGAAGTCTTTGTTTCTTGTCGGGAACGAAGGCGCGCTGCATGAGGATGATTGAATTTGGATGTTTTCTTTGCTTGGTGAGGCATTGTCGGATGTTGGATTCATAACGCTTCCGACTTCATCAAGTAACAGCAGCGAGAGTGTATTTCCAAACTAGCCTGTGTTGAAATTCCGGGAAATTGTGCGAGTGTTGAGAGTTTGGTGAATTTTAGTGGCCAGTATGTTCATGGCTTGGCGATCGTTTCACCTGCAACACAGGCCTTGCCTGGATAGTCCGAGTGTGAGCGCCAAGACCGTAAACAAAAACCAAGCTTGCAAAGTTTGAAGCCACGTAAGCCATGCTGAACCCCTATCCGTAAGGCTTTGAGGGCCCTACACGGTGATTCGACGAGGCTGCTTTAGGTGCAATGTTATCACTTCAAGAAAATGAAAGCGTCGTCTTCCCCAGTACTTGCTGAAGTTGCATCTTCAAGATTGCCTGCATCTGCCTGCAATGCAGTGACCTTTTCCGGTCCGACAATGATGAAACTCGAAGACCCTGAACCCTCACGTGCATTGAACAACCTGCAGTTCTAAGACCTCAAACCCTGAACCCCGAATCCTGAACGTCAGCTGGGCGGGTAGGAGATAAGCCCTACACTCCCAGTACCGAAGCAGCCTAGAACCCTCGCTTCCCACGCGAGTTTTAACCCAGACCTTCTCATCCCAAAGCCTGTAGAGGTCCCCAAGGAAGCAGCGACAGGTCGACTGTGAAGTCCGATTTTCGTGAAAAGGATTAAGGGAAAGAGGGCTCGCGAAGCCTAATCCCTGCCACCGCCTGGTGAGTTCGGCAGGGTTTGCTTCTCTGTTGGCTTAGACTGAAGTCTTGCCGGTCTAGGCGGGCAAGAAACAGGAACATTTCCCACGACATGCATCCTCCAGTGGTGAGCTACCCTCACGTTAACCGGCCGGACAGGATCGGTGCAAGTATTGACCCGATGCCGTGAACCATAAAGACCCTGAAGTCTAGGACAAAAGCACGCAAGAATCCCAGACCCTAGTGGCCCTAGTCTTCAAAAGGCCTGCGAACATCCTGCTCGATGCCGACGGCACTCCGAAGATGGCAGACTTCGGCCTTGGCGCTCAGAGCAATCCTCAAATCTCCGTAAGTCCATGAGGGCCTTCATAGTTCGAAGAGGAGTCGTTGTGAAGAGTTCTTAGAAGAGGGCCTACATATACGGGTCATACATCAGCAGGGTTAAAAGTTAAAAGTAAAGGAGCCTTAATAGCTAGACGGGCTTAGACCTGCTTGAAATCAAGACGGAACTTACAAACGGCTACATCATAGACGAGTGCCCTCCTGCAAAGAGGGGAGTTCTTATGGTGTTACAATCTCGGATTGAAGAGGTTCAACTTTATTGACTGGCCCTAGCACCCGAACCGTGCAGTTTCTGATGGGTCGGCCACAAAGAAGTAACATAGTTCAGGGTGTCGACGAGCTTCGCCCTGCACTCAGGAACTTCGCAAAAGACCTGCTGCACCCCAAAACCTCCAAAACCTCCAAACCCACGTATGCCATCGGGCCCTTGATCCTGTAGTTTGAGGCCTGGCAGCCGCAGTGAAGGATAACAGCGGCGAGGCAGGCTTGGGCTGTTTGGGCCTTTGGGGGGTCTTAGAGGTTTTCGGGTTGAGTTAGTTATCGGCCCTGTGAGTGCATGCATGTATGCATGCATCGGTGTATGGATGCATGTACGTGTGGATGTATGCATGCGTGCAGCGTGCATGCATGCTTGTTCGTTGCTTTGTTTGTGTATGTGTGTCATTGCCTTCCTTATGCGCGTACAAAGACGGAGGATATGTTGGACCCCCTTCTTCCAGCTGCTATGAGGCCAGAGAGGCCCTAACATGTTATTGCAGGTGTTCATGTTCGCAGCTCATGGGAAACGAGCTGGGAGTCTGGGAGCTGAAGTCCTTCTCTTACAGGCTTCGTTCTGTTACATTGATCCATACGCCTTAATTTCTGTCACTCGCATCATTCTCGTCTTTGCACGCGCCGGTACTCTGAACCACTATGACTGACATTCACCACTATTGTGTTTGTAATCGCAAACAGGTTTGCTCTGTTTGCGTCTCCGTGCATCTTTCAACCCTGCTGGCCGAGAGCGCACGGGCTTGGTCTCTTGGACTCGAACATCCCAGCACAGATGTGAGGACAAGCTCGCCGTGGAGCAGATTGCGGGCACACCGGGGTGCCCTTCCGGGTTCTGGAGGGCACGGCTCGGAGCCGAAGTTTCGGGCTGATTGGCCTTGATGCTTTAAGTTGGAGTTGTAGGGTCGATCGTGGGGAAAGAGGAAACTGAGAGTTGATGTGTTCTATCTCATGAGCTGACAGCTGCGATGGCATTTACGTAAAATCGGAAGGCAGGATTATAAAATGAAGGTTTAGTCGCACAGGCACAGCATGCCGTGGTAGGTCAAAGCCCTGTATGGTACCAGTAAAGGGCGAACTTGGCCGGGTCGTGTAAGTAACCTATAAGATTCTGCCGGAAGCAAACGGGGCTCTCTTTAGGAAGGTTCTGATGCTCTGACATTCTACCTCAAAGCCCTATTCTGCCCCTAACTCGATATAGAATGCGCCTCGGCTGAAGTGCGTGTTGGGGCTGCATCTCGCACACAGGTGCCTGGATGATCCTGGATGCCAATATTTTAGATTGCCTCATGTTTTTCTTCGTTTTGCGATTCAATGATTCGTTTACCATTTCCGCAGCCCTCTTTCGTCAGCTTGAGGTTCTCGGGCTTTCGCACTTCCTTTCGATGAGACGGTCTGCCTACAGTACACATGTACCAAAGCGTTCAAACCCAGCATCTTACAAGATATCTTTGGACTAGACCCTGAGTAATTAGTGTGCTTCTCTGAAAGCACCCATGCAAGAAAGTCTGGAAAATCGTATACCCTTTTATTTGGGCCGGATGCTGGTTGGATTTCTGGCCTTGAAAGCAACAGCCTGACATGGCCCGGCTACTTCCTGCCAGCGTGCCGTTGGTTTTGAGACATGGCGACTCGGTAAGATGTCGTTTTTGGACAAGGGAGGGGTCCGTGATCTGAATACACGGCAGGGATGGGTAGCACAGTTCTTGATTTGGAGTTTGGGGTTCAGGCTGAACAGGATAATGGCACATGTGCTTCCCGGAAGACGAGCCTAGACTGCCTAGACCTGCCGTTCCTCAGCGACTGAGCGAAGGGATGGAACTGCTTTCATGGATGCCAGCCGGTGGAAAGTCGTGTCAGCAGGCTCATCAAGCTTCATAGAACATGCTGCCATGATCAAGCGCGACAGTATGCATCCACATTTTGACCCCAGGGAAGGGACCAGCCCGTTGGGACATGTCATGAGTGATTGCTAAAAGGGAAGTCCAGCACTTGTGCCTGTGCAGAGTCTCAGCTAGACCGTCCTAAGTGGCTGAAGCTTTTGCCCGTAACAGTCTGTGAACGCCAGTCCCAAGAATGCAGGTGCACATGCCTACGTCATCCAAGTTCGTGACATAGTCAGGTAGACGCGCAGCTCATCCAGCTGTACATGTGCATCAGTGGTTTTTCCTGATTCTGAGTAATCGTTAGTCTTAAACGCCTTAAGGCAAGTAATTGCGCAGCTATTGGGGGGTGGTACTTTGCGGCTCAGGGTAAGCTTCTTCTTGTCCTTGGCTTGCTTGACGGAAGAAGCCTAAACCTCGAAGTTCTAAAGTCGAAGCTTAAATCCGGAATATCGAAATCTTTATAGTTCCTATAGTTAAGCTCAAACCCGGAATATCGAAACCTCCACAGTTCCTTGTTTAGACCCCTTTTTACAGGCCTTATAGACGCCTTAGTCACTCCGCTTAAGGCACCGGAGTGAAGACGGATCTCATGTTTTGTCGCAGTGGGCAAGGATGCAACTTCAAGAGTAGTTTTGTGTCGAGGGAGGAGACCTTTACTGTTTCTTTTGGGCTGGACTTCCGGCCCAGTGTTGAGCCTTCGCTCACCTAGCGAAACATCCAGGGTCCTTCAGTTCTTGCCATCAGACCCTCCTTAACTTTGCCAGCGCCAAAGCCCAGACGCGGTAGTACGGCAGAACCCCGCGACTCAGGCTCCCAACCACTTCAGGACGAGGCAACCCAAAGCCAGCCCCGGATTCGCGATTCTCGGACTGAGTGGTTTTGGACTGGGAGACTCCCTGTTTCTGGGTCATTTCTTGGCCCAGGGCCTTAGGGATTGCTCAGTTTTGGCGGGCTTGAGGTGCGACGGCGAGGCTCATGGCACCATGGTGTTTGTGAAAGAAGGTCTTGCCGAAAGAGCTTACTCAAGCAGGAGTTTCTGCCGTGGCCTGTCTTGCCCACCCTCATTGCGAAACCTCTCGTGCAAAAGAAAACCTGTATACTCAACCTGTATACTATCGATAAACCTCCAGAAGCCGCCGTCGCGAGCCACCCGTACTTGGGCGGCTTTCGGTATGGCAGGCCGGGGCTGAGCTGGGTCAGAGAAGGGTTTCTTTAGCAATCGTAATAATGACGGACATAGTAATAGTAATAGGAATAGTAATAAAAATTGAAACAAGAAAGCAATAGGAATAAGAATAATGGTAATACTGCAAATAATGATAGTAATTGTCGCCGCCGCCTGAGCTTTCAAGGCTGCCACCGGGTCATGTTGCTGCTAGGTTGTATCGCTGTTTTTGGGTTGCAAACGTTGCTAATGCTGTCGACGCGTTTGTTTGGTGCATGTCCCGCTATGATTACAACTCGTTCTGAGTGTCACCTTTTCAGCCCCGTCAGAACCAGAAATGTTGAAAGCCTCACACCAACGCCATGAAGATCAAAGTATTGTCACACAAACATTTCGCGCAGCTTCCCACCATTGCTCTTGCTTAAACACATGAGCTTGGCAGTAGCATGTCTTCTTCTTTCTTTGATTATTTCCAGCACTCGAGGGCAACAGCATGGCCAGTGGAGTACTGCCTCCATGGCCGGCAATATGAGTGCATTCCCGAGTCCCCATACATCTCTACTGACTATGCCTGTATACAATTCCCCACCCCTCCCCCTCTCCCCCCGCCTAGTGGAAACTTGGAGGTGGGGGCCATGTATAGCCCTCACACCCGGAAGACCCTGCCTTGAGCCCCGGCGGGCGCTGTGTTTGCAGGTTGCTGCCCATGCCTCACATTGCGCCTCTGCGGTTTAGAGCCACGCCGGCGCTGGCGGAGGCCGGCTGATATCCTGTAGTTGGCGGCCGTGTGTGTGCGCGTTTTGTTTGTCTGTGTGTGTGTGTGTGTTCGTTTTTGTGCTATTTGTTTTTGAGGCAGGGGGTTCGGTAGTTTGGTTCTGAGGACGGTACTTTCAGGACACCGAAGGGGGACCGTGATCCAGAAGATGCACCCGCTTTGGCTTCAGTACGCGGGCTGCAGGTTGGAGCTTGCCCACGCTGCACCTGCACAATGCTTTGTCAGGTCTGCAGTTGTGTAGCACCGAAGCAGCCCAAATCCGACCAGACGAGGCACTGCCAGCTGCTCTTCTGTATAAGCTTCACGGAGCTTCGGCTTCTCCCTGAAAGGTGGCATCTGAAAGGAGGACGAGCCTGGCCGCCTGTGCAGGCCAGGAAGTCGGGCGAGGGTTTGGGCTTAGGGATCTAGGAGCCTGGGGTCGTTCTGCTTGAAGTTCTGCGCAGCTGCACAGCAGGTACGAGCTGCAGCACACGACGGCTTGTCTGCAGTCGGCACCCCAGACGAGTGCTCCATAAGGCCATAGTGCAAAGGACCATAGGACCTGGCACAAATCTGAAGAACAAGCATTAGGCTTAGCTGCTGATTCGATCGATGGAAGACACCCAGAACCTTTCCTAGAAGACTCCAACTGGGAAAGCGAGTTTTTCGTCATTGACTCGTTTTGCAGGCCCAACCGCCGCATAAGAATCAACTACCTTGGCCAACTGCACTGACCTTGTCACTGATAGTCCCTCTATTCTATCATCAGCCATGCCAGGAATCGTGAGATTGCAAGTCTGGGTCCACTCCGTGATTTACAGCAATATAAAGTTCAAGTTTCACCAGAAGCTTGCCCATCAGCCTGCTCCCTGCATACGCGCGGGAACCCTTGCTGCGAGGAGATCATTGCCCTCGCGCGCCTGATCTGAATTTACCGGTGCATTCTACGACTCTAAACCTGAAACTTAACCCTAAAGCCTCATAAGGGCCCCTTTGGCTTTGCATCTTGGACCGGGTTATGGCAACAGTCACACGGCCGACCGCCGATTTTGGCCGCCTCAGAGCATTATGTCCACCTGCAATCGAACGTAACATATATTTCTCCTTGGGCTTGCCTGCATGTCTTCCGTCTATCTATCTCAGCAGAGTGCCTAGGGTGCAGATTCATCAGATCTTGCTCGCCTAGGAAGGCGCACAAGTCTTCGCAGAGCTTATCGCTGCTTCGGTCATCGCGAGACAGGTTGGCACAGCAGGGCTGCAAAGGAGCAGATGTATTCACACGCTCAGGCTCACACATGTGAGCAAAAGCTACACACACGCGCACGGTTTGCAGTAGGTACATTTGTACATGTGCGCATGACATGCCTTTATAACACTTTAGATCTTTTGGTTCGACTACCTGCCCGAACGGCGTCTCGGAAAGCTGTGTTCCCCAACCTCTGGCCAGCATACCCGTGCCCAGCAAAGTGTCGCTCACACGAATGTACACATAGCCTGATAACCCTTCGACCGACTTAGGCCTTCTAAACCCAACATAGACCATGGCCAGGTTGCCCCCGAATGTGGTGAACGCCGTTCTGGGAGCCGTTGCCAAGCGAGGAGGTCCCTTGCCAGCAGAAAACCAAGAAACATGGTTGGCTTTCCACAGACACCTGGACAGGTCGCGTAGAGGATCTGCTTGCTGAACTTGAGGAGGACATTGCGCTTGAGCAAGTGCAACCTCAAGCCCTGAGGTCTTTCGTGCCCAGAGCTTCAAAGTGGCGGATCATAAACTAACAGGAGACACTGGATCTCCAACAGCTGAGTGGCAAAAGACCCCCATCGAATTCTTGGTCGTTTGCTGACTGAAGTCCTGAATCCGACATCTTTGTCACTAAGACATTCCAGGGTGCATGTTTGATGATCCGCATGACTTTGACCTTCAGGTAAAAGCCGGGTTAGAATCTTGATCTCCATCCTGGCCGTCGCTCCGTCTTGCTGTAGGGGACTAGGTGTGATCATCGAGTCTGACTTTGGTTATTCCTACTGACCAGACTTCCAGTGGAAGGGGATCGCTTGCGGGCTTGCCATGTCAAGAAGTTTGACTTTGAATTATAAAGATGCCGAGCGAGTAAGTGAGACAGAGACAGAGACACAGAGAGAGGCCAGACGTACCTGCGCGGACCTTGGGGTAGGCCTCCGGGCCAGGGGGCCTAGTCCCCAAACGCCTAGCAAGCAAGCCAGCAGGCAAGCAAGCAAGCAAGCAAGCAAGCAAGCAAGCAAGCAAGCAAGCAAGCAAAAAAGCAAAAAAGAAACAAGCAGGCAAACAAAAAACAAACAGACAA